GGCATCAACACCCAGACTCCAGCACAGGCGTCCCGCCCAACACACAGACACACTCTGGCATCAACACCCAGACTCCAGCACAGGCGTCCCACCTAATACACAGACACACTCGGGCATCAACACCCAGACTCCAGCACAGGCGTCCCCCCCAACACACAGACACACTCGGGCATCAACACCTAGACTCCAGCACAGGCGTCCTGCCCAACACCCAGACTCCAGCACAGGCGTCCCGCCCAACACACAGACACACACAGGCATCAACACCCAGACACCAGCACAGGTGTTCTGCCCAACACCCAGACTCCAGCACAGGCGTCCCACCCAATACACAGACACACTCTGGCATCAACACCCAGACTCCAGCGCAGGCATCCTGCCAAGCACAGAGATGGGCATCGACATCGGTTTTGTGCATTTCCAGTCGTACCTCATGGCCCTTAGTGCCACCCGGAAAGCCAGCTCGGGGTCATGGGGCACCAGGGCACCCAGCAGGTATCGTGCTAGAGAGTGCATGGGCACTGTATCCTGGGGTACCACCTCCCCTAGTGCACTGAGCACCCCCCCTGAAGATAGAGAGAAGGATTAATACAGACAGACTGGCTGACTGGATACTGGAAGTGATGATGATGATGTTTGTCCTCCCTCTTACCCTCCAGCAGGGCGGCACTCTCTCTCCGCAGGGTGGCGATGACTGGGTCAGTGAGAGGAATCTGGACGAGCCGGGAGATCAGCCTCTCCTCACATCTCACAGCCCGGTCCTGGGACCCCCGCCCCACGGGCAGCGCCCTCTGCTGGCCGAGCCCCCACAGTGCCACCTCCACTGCCACGCACACACTGCACTCGCCCGAGTCGCGCAACCCGCCTGCCGCGGGCACAGTGCCTGAGAAACAGCAGGAATGTGGGAGAGAGGAGGGGAGGGGAAGCAAAGGGAAGAGGTGAGGAAGGGGGCGAGGTGGAGAGAAGGTATGTAGCTTGCAAACTGTCTACATGTCTGTGTGTCCAGTTCAATTAAAACATCTTTACTGACATCACCACGCACACAGGCCAGGGCTGTCTCCTACCAGGACAAGGGGCGTGGCCATCCTCATTCGCGTGACACGCCTCCAGGAAGGTGTCAAACAAGCAGCCAATGGGATCCAGTGGATGCCCCACCCACCCTTCAGGATTGGCTGCCTGGGTCACAAGGTCCTGTGGAGATCCTGTGGGAGGAGGAGCCAGAGACCTCTTACAGCGCACATCTAACTCCCTCACCCGAGCCACAGATAACAAAGCCTATGGCTCCCAAATAGAATGCAAACCATCTCGCTGTCCCACCTTCTCTGGCCGGTCGGAGCCCTTCGGACACCCTGCGCCTCTCCAGTCTCAGCGCGCTGACGACGGCCAGCCCCAGCCGCAGAGCCTCCTCCCCGTATCCATGACGTCGCAGGGCGCTGATGCGCGCACACACCAGGGGCAGGGGCTCTCCCGCCCACGCCGGTGCCCCCTGCGCCCCCTGGTCACCCCGCAGGACTCTCTGGAGCTCGGGGGCCGTCCACTGGAGCCCCCCACACTGTAGGGCCGGCCACAGCACTGAGCGCCGGGCTGAGGGGGAGGGAGGGAGGTGTGGGGTAAGAAGCAGGCCGACAGGCGCAGGCAGCAGCAGCGCACACGCAGGAAGGAAGGCCGTCGGGGTGCGTACCTGTGACCTGGGAGCCCCGTGCGTCAGCTATATGGTTCCCCTCCTCCAGCGGGGTGGCCTGATCTTGGTTCCAGTTCTGCAGCAGGCCCAGCCAGTGAGCACGCTGGTCCGGCCCGGTCCAGGGACTGAGCACCACGCTGACCCACAGAGAGGCTGGAGGGAAACAGAGGCCAAGACTGGTAAGACACTGCTGGACGCAGCCCAGCAGACGGACAGACGGGCGCTCTCCACTCGGACTCTCTCACTCACCCAGCTGCTCCCACAGTTCTGTCACGAAGGGGCTCAGCGCCCCCGAGCTGCCCCAGCACCCCAGAACCAGCTCTCCTGTCAGCACAGCCAGAACCCGCGGTCCGTTACTGTCCCGGCACCTGAGCATCTCCCGCACCTGCGCAGATCAGGAGAGATGAGACTCAGACAGACTCCCTGCCCCTCCTGCACCTGCGCAGACCAGGAGAGATGAGACACAGACAGACTCCCTGCCCCTCCCTGTCAGGTCCGTACCGTGCGAATCAGCGCCGAGATGTGTGCGCAGCTGGATTGCAGTCCTCTGCTGCTGACCGAGGCCTTGACGACTCTTCTGAGCCTCTGTCTCAGCTGGTCCTCCTGCAGAGCCCAGCGCCCGTCTCCCTTTGGGCCCAGTCCGGCTGTGGGGTCCGGCGCTCCTGGGGCCACACCGCAGGGTCAAACACACGTCACCCCAACGCCCACAGCAGCGCAGAGAGACGAGGACGCACGCGGACACGGACTCACCAGGGCGCCCCTCTTCCTGCAGCTGCTCCGCCAGCTCCTGGGCCGCGGGCACCAGCGAGGGGGGGTTCTGGGCGATGAGGTGCTGGGCCAGTTTCTGAAGCTGGGCTCGGCTCAGGCGAGCCAGCGTGTCAGAGATGGGGGGCCGCCCACGCACCCCCCTCCCGCCCCCTCGCAGCCGGAACAGCAGGAGAGCGACCACATGGGCACAGTACGCATCCCCCCCGCAGGAGCAGGACACGGCAGTGACCCTGCGCTGGGCGAACGCCAGCGACACGCGGAGGACCCGCGCGCCCGCGCACGCACACGCGGGGGGCCGGAGATTCGGGTCCGAGGACAGACACGCAGGGCACTCCCTCACGCTGGCGCTGAGCAGGAATCCTGGGAGAGGGAGAGGGAGCGAGACTGAGCCTGTCCTGTTCTGCCACCTGCCACCTGATCTCAGAGTTTCGGCGAAGACAAGCTGGGACACGACTGTCGCACCTGGGAGCTCACCTGCCTGCAGTCAGAGCACAGAGGCTCCACTTCGTGCTGTA